ACTTATTAATATAAATTTCAGATTGATCTTTTTATTTTAGATTTAACTTTTATTTTCTGTATGTAAACTGGAGTATTTCTTATGATTTTTTTTTAAACATTTTGTTTACAGCACCCTCTCACCTGGAGGAAGTCTTGAGAGAACAAATTGCAGAAGGGCAACCAAGGACACACAGACCTTGGAAGAAGATTATTGTTATTGTGGAGGGAATATACAGCATGGAAGGGGAGCTTTGCAAACTTCCTGAAATTATAGCAATCTGCAAAAAGTACAAGGTTATCAGAATCTACAACAACTTGAATTGGAGTGATAAATCTATTTCATCCTTTTCTCATGAATTTTTATTCTTTAACAGGCATATACGTACTTGGATGAGGCCCACAGCATTGGAGCAGTAGGGAAAACAGGGAGAGGTGTTTGTGAACTCTTAGGAGTGGATACTGCCGACGTGGATATTATGATGGGAACTTTTACGAAATCATTTGGATCCTGTGGAGGCTATATTGCAGGGTCTAAGGTCTGCTTTTGAAACACTCTGAATGATACGATTAATTTATTGAGCAGCAAGAATTTTGATTTTGGCAAAATCTGTCTGGAGCACATGCAGAGAGTCATCCATTGTCCCATCCAAGCCAAAAATTGGAAAAGGGGAAAAAAAAGCACTTCTCCAGTAATTTGGTGCACTAAAATTTGCTTCATTATGAAAAAATCATTAGGAGATTAGTTAGCAATTTGATGATAGGGAGAAGAAGTTGCTCATCTTAAATGCAGCGTCACCCAGTTCAAATTTATTCTGAAGACTTCAGCCTATAAGAGATTTGTTCTTCTAAATATGCCACATTAACTGTCTACTTGACAACACAGAAAAGAAATGTCCTGTATCATCTCCGGGGGCAAATGACACTTAAGTTTCTGTATTTGGCCATAGGCATTTAAGGAAAATTAAGCTCATTAAGTTTCTAAAAAGATTTCCAGCAGCTAGTATGAAGATTTTTCCTTCTATTGCATATTAAGGCACTTGTACCTAGTGACTATGTGTCAAGTCTGATGAATATTTAGATGTGGTTGAAACTTTTGTTTAATTTTCAGGAACTTATTCAATACTTGAAGTATACTTGCCCTGCGCATCTTTATGCAACTTCAATATCACCACCGTCTGCAGAACAAATTATATCTGCCATAAAGGTCATCCTTGGGGAGGATGGTTCTAGTAGAGGTCTGAGTTGATACTTTTCCTACCGTGTTTAACTTTAAGTTTGAATTCTTAAGATCTCTGTAGCTTCACTCCTGCTGTAGTTTAAATGCTTCTGTTTCCATATAGGTGCCCAGAAACTTGCTAGAATACGAGAAAACAGCAACTTTTTCGGTCGGAATTGCAGAAAATGGGATTTGAAGTTCTTGGGGATAATGATTCCCCAGTAATGCCTATTATGCTTTACAATCCTGCCAAAATCCCTGCTTTCTCACGGGAGTGCCTTAAGCACAACGTAAGTCCGAAGCATGATAATCATATTACCCAGTTCTTTTTTTCCCTCTAAAATTGAGTCAAAGAAACTAATAAATGTACTCCCACAGGTGGCTGTGGTAACAGTGGCTTTCCCAGCAACACCTCTACTGCTGGCACGGGCACGCATATGCATATCTGCTTCTCATTCCAAGGAAGACCTAATCAAAGCCTTGGAGGTAAATTCTGAGACAATTCTATACTCCCTTTTTTGTATGGTTCTTTTGTCCACAGTTAAATATTACACCAATTCCTAATTTGTGCTGTCTTCCTTTTCAGGTTATCAGTACAGTTGGTGATCTTGTAGGCATAAAATACTTCCCTGCTGAGCCAGAGAAGCAGCAACAAGAGGAAAGGATGAAGTTGGAATAGAGAGAAACAATTGGAATTAAGCAACTGCTAGTGGCAACAGGAGAAGATGCAATCGTAGCTGGGGGATTCTTTTATGTGCCTTAACTGTATAATTCATTGCGGTCTCTGTGAAGAGGTTTGTACCTTCATTAACTGGATTTATGACTGCCCCTCTACTCCTTTGTGTATACCGGGTGAAAAACCATCAGAACGTTCATTGCTGGGGCTAATGTCATCTTGCTTGTGCTTGTTTAAGTTGTCTTTTTGTTTTCTCATGATGTGTACATAGCTAGTTGTTAGTCAGAGGTGACCATTTTGAGATTGGAATTTTGGCCTGTGTGGATGTTGTCTTCATTTTTGTACTGGCCATAAATTATATGGGTTTCTGTTATAGCCTTTCATTGGAAGAATAACTGTGAGTGTACTGCTACCTATAGGAATTGATTTCTGTAACTGTAGACTGAATTGGTAGACGAATATTGGGTGATTACTTTCTTTGGAATTGAATTCGGATCATTAAATATTGTCTTATTTTAAGGGGATGTTTGGCTTTGTCTATTAGGTATTTATAAATAGTTTTGGGCGTACTGTTTAAGTTTGTCGGTCTGATATTGTAATTAAGCAAAAGCTGCTTATCAAGTGCTATTTAAGATATGTTTGCTAATATCATAAATGATAGGCATATCTGTTATAGATTTTGGTATACTGCTGCTTCTAAGGATTATTGATTTCTTTCTGCAACTATAGAATGGGATAGGGGAGGATGAATAGTGGGGTATTGAATTGAAATCCTGATATGTCGATCTTAAGGGCATGTTTGGTTCTGTTTGTTAGGTGTTTATAAATAACTAAGCATTCCGATTACAAATAATTAATATTTTAGAATTTTAAAATTAAATAATAATAATAAATTTAAAATAAACACGACATAATAATAAAAAAATGCATGAATCTTTAACAATTCCATCTACTCGCATGAAGAATAATATAATAAAATTGAGTTACAACTTTGAGTACAAATTGTATACTTTAATAATTAAGTAATATTTGTACACTAATAACAATTTAATCAATATATTAACATAATTTTTTTTTTTAAATCAGAATATTCATTATCACTTAAAAATCTGACTTTTTTTTTTTAATTATTTAAAAGAAAACAGAAAGGCATTTAGTTTTGAATTAATGATACTGATTAAGTTCCTTTGCATGGCGAGCACGTGGCTATGGATCCTCAAATTTGAAACCCTAAATCTAGTTGGTGCATTTAAGAAACAAAGGGGATAGATACTAAATTAATTTAAGAGGACTGCTATTGACACTTCTCTTATACTCTTCTTTACCAATAATTATTATATACAAACATGTTTAAAAATTATAAATCTCTAAATTAATTTTTTTTAAATAATATATATATATAAATATGTAATAGGGGTGTGTTTGTGTGAGAATCAAACACTAAAATATATAATAGTTTTTTTCTAAAATACTAAAATTTTTTTAATAATACTTCACAATTATTTTAAATAATAAAAACTAAAAATATTTTTGATTTAAGAATCATAGCCGTGTTTGGTACATAACAACATTTTATCATGTTAATTTCTAAAATTCATATTTCTTTATTCATCAAATAATTAAATGACTAACCAAATAAAATATTGATGTAAATTTTTTAAATTATTTAAAAAGAGAAATAAAAAAAAAAAGTGCTAATTCACAACCATAGCTTTATTTAAAAATAAAAATTTGTGAAAAATAATGTTGATGTTGTCATGATCCTAAAATCCACCCCAATCTATGTTGTAATGATGGGAGATTTTCTAAAATCCACTTAAATTTGAGTGTAACGGTTCATGGGGTATATAACACTACAATAAAATTAAAAATAAGACTGTTATAAAAATAGTCATTATTAATTATATTTCATATAATAAAAAGTAAATTAAAATTAAAAAAAAAAATTTGGGCTCGCACAGAAAATAAATCAATAATAATTCCAAACCGAAGCTCCTATTCGGCGATATCTGAGATTTCATCCTATCCGTCCATTTAAAGGCGATTAGCTCATCAAAACTGTCATATCCTTCCGCTCACATATATTCTCCCCGGTGTCCGTACAACACGCAAGACACTCTCCCTTCTTCCACGTAAATAACTTTGTAGTATTTTTCCAGCCCCAGCCGAGCGAGAGAGAAAAAACGGGAAGCAGTATTTGTTCCCCAGTTTCAAATTCAAAAACCACCCTTATGCGTAAAACAAAACAGGGAGAGAGAGAGAGAGAGAGAGAGAGAGAGAGAGAGAGAGAGAGAGAGAGAGAGAGAGAGAGAGGGAATTAAGTGGATGAAAATGGGAGCTCAAAGCCAAAAAACCGCCATTGATTTCCGTAGCAGAAGCTCAGAACTTTTCCAACACCTGTTCATCTTCCCCCTTCCATTCGTCACCCATCCCTTGGCCACCTCTCTTACCCATTACTTTAACTCTCCTTTTTTTGTTCCTCACCAAACCCTGGTTAAACCAAAACTAGAGAGGAAGCGAAAAAAAAGAAAAAAGAAAGAGAAATCTCAGAGCATTCGTGAATCCACATTCAACATCTGTCGTAAAAACCCTAACCCTAGGCGACTCCATTGTTGCATGATTATCACCACCACCACACAGCCAAATCCCGGATCAGATCCCTTCACTCCCCCTTCCCTTCCATTATGAATCCCCCTCCGCCCAGCTTTTAATATTTGTTATTATTGTAATTGCTGCTGTTTGTTTGTGTTTTATAATGAGACCAAAAGATGTGGAAAATGCAAATGCAAGGTGCACAAATGTCATGAAGAACCAGGCTCTGTAATCGCCCAAAAAGCTTGCCAAAAATAGCAAAAACAAAAGAGTGCTACTCTGCTCTTCCCTTTTTTCTCTTTCCCTTTTATTTTCTCTTTAATCCAAACAAACCCATTTCCTGATTGCCCAGCGTCCATTTCAAAAACCCCATCTCTGTGCACAAACCCACACGCCAATTGCAGAAAGCTTTCTGGCCGGGGCCCCGATAAAATTAAACCCTAACAATGATGAACAAAGGAGCACCAGCTGCGACTACTACTACTACTCCTACTCGTAGTTCTGCTACTACTGCTGCTCATCATCGTCTCCCACTTGGGGAGAAAACCGAGGCCTGTGCTTTAGTGGCAGCAGGTGGCAATAAGGAAGGAGACAAGAAGATCCGATTCAAGGATGCCGTGGAGGCGGTTTTTCGGATCGGTTCGAACCGGGATCTTGTCGGTGCTGTGCCGAGTTTGGGTGCCGTTGTGAACAGG